TTTGTTAAATTTTAACCAATATCTATATAGATAGTCATTTATTGTGTATTCCTTAGTTAAAGTGTAGACAGTTAGGTCCTCCCAACGCTTTAATTTGTGTGTTATACGGAGTCCTGTACAGTAGACATGTTCGATTAATGTTTGCTGGTTTTCGGTATAGAAAAACCTGCACGAGAATAACCAAATTATATGCGGAAGCGCATAGGCAAAAAATAGTTTTCTTCGTATATGCATTAGGGATAAAGGTATTTTATTAAATATAATGCGTAGGACATGATATATTTTCCTAATTATTTGAAGACGTTTTAATATATAGGTACCCCATCCTAATTTTGTTGTTATGTCGACTCCTAGATATTTGAAACGTTTTACAAATTCGATTGATAAATCCTTATATTTTATTTTAGGATATGGTGGTGCTACAACATCGTGTACTAGCAGTGCTTTTGTTTTGTTTACATTGACAGGAAGTATGTTATCATCGGCATATTTTGCTAGAATTCTCATTGCAGTCTCAGCCTGTCTTTCAAGTTCAGTAATATTTCTGGAGAATGTATTCTCAAGTGCTCCAGAGATAACGATAGCAAGGTCATCCGCAAATAGATGGCATACCAAATTCATGAAATGTGAGGGAAGGAAATGAACATGTAAGCGAAAAAGAGTAGCTGCCAAAACGGAACCTTGAGGAGCGCCAACGAATAAATTAATAACACGTGAAACTGCATTTCCGACATGAATGGACATTGATCTACCGTTTAACCATGAAAAAATCCATTTTAGTATTGGTGGTGGAAATTCAAGCTTAAGAAGTGTTTTGAGGAGGGCAGGATGCCACATTCTATCAAACGCTGACCTGAAATCCACGACAATTACTAAGGATGGTCTGTTGTTTGCTGCTGTTGTTAATCTGAGATCCTCTACTAGTGATAGAATGCGGGTTTGTAAACGCCTTTCGGAAGTAAATCCGGATTGTTCATCTATAAAGATACCTTTTTCTCTACACCATTTAAGTATACGTTCATGAATTATTCTTTCAAAGCATTTACCAAAGTTCGAGAGGAGTGAGATTGGTCTGAGCTTATTAACTGCTGGGTACATTCCATCTTTTGAGAGACAGATTGTTTTCGCATGTTTGCTATTCCAAAGTACTCTACCCGTCTCAGCAATTTTGTTAAAAGCAACAGTAATTATTTGTAAATATTCCAATGGTATTTGATGAAGTAAGAAAGCTGAAAGTCCTTCTGTATCTGTTGATTTCTTTTTTTGAGCACGTTTCCAGTTTTTTTCTACTTCGGCTAATGTGATTTTTTCTAGGGTATATTAGGTTGTTGCGTAAAAACTTCATAGTCTCTCATTGCATCAACATGGCTTATATTATTGGGATCAATGATAGGTGTTTCGAAATGTTTTTCATAATAATTAGCAAGTGTGTCAGCTATTAATTGATGATCTTTTATTATACCTTTGTTTGTAGTAAGACCTTTAAAGGAAGGTGCATATGGATGGAATGTTGTATGTACGTATTTCCATATGTTATTTCCATGTGATATGAAAGAGTTTCTTTTTTCTATTTTTTCCTGTAGGAATAGACTTTTTTCATTAAAATATAGCCTTTTCCAGTATAAATATTCTTCAAGATTTCTTTGTTGTTTAGATCTTCTGTATTTTCTTCTTGCTTTATTTAGATTTCTTGCTAGTTGTACAAGATACAATGGCCACGGTGGTCGATATTTCTTAACTGGTAAGTATTCACTCACTCTGTCCCATGTAGAAGAAAGAAAAGATGAGAAAAGATCGAGAAATACGTCTGCATCAAAATTGTAAACGAGTGCGTTGAAATATGGGAAAATAGATTTAAGAAAAAATGCGAACACTTTCCAATTTGATTTTCTGAAATAATTAGTAACACCTGTTGAAAATGGTGATTGTATCAATACAGGATAGTGATCAGATGTCCCTTCCTTTATTACTTCAGCATTCCAACCATCGGCATTGTGGGTAATCCCGAAATCAATTACCACAGATGATCTTTTTGACGTTGGTTGATTTGGGTAAATCATCTCACATCCTGTATTGTCAAGCCAATTTCTCAGTTGTACTCCACTAGCGTTATTATTATTACAAAGCCAATCAGTATGTTTTGCGTTATAGTCTCCAAATATATAAAACGATTTATCCACGTATGTATCGAAAATAGTTAGAGGGATAGGTTTACCAGGGGGTATATAAACAGCGCCCAATAGAATTGGTTTTGGTAGTATGTCTAACTCAACGAGTAGAAAGTCATTTTCTTGAGTAATTAATTTGGTTTTAAGTGTTATATGAAATAGCATTGCCACCCCACCAAAGGCATTGGTACCTTCCTGACTAATCCAATAGTAATCGGTAATTTTTGGTAAATGTTTTATTTTTGAACCTACACCAGTTAAAATTAATATTTGAGGTGTATAAGTTGCTAGGAGAATATAAAGATCAGCAATATGAGTACTTAAACATTGACAATTATACAATATAATAGAGAGATTATCGTTGGATCCTAAGGGTCTGGCTTTACGCCATTGTTTGGAGATATTAGATAGAGAAACTTTACAATTCCACTCATTTATCATATCGGTTAACATAGTTTTTTCGGCTGTAGTCCCTTCAAAAGAGTCAGTTATAATCTTATTCACAATCGGTGAAGAATAGTGAAAATTAAAGTTCATTGTTTGATTGTTCGTTTGTGTTCATACCTCTCAACAACAAAGCGTTTTGTTTATCCATGAGTGTTTTGAGTTTCTGTTGATGATTAGTTAGTAGGTGTAATCGATTATTGAGCGAAGATATTGTTTCATTGATTGTGCCATATATTATTTCTTTTCGTTGTCGTTCATTTTCATCTGCATCAAATTTGTTGGTTTCCTTCACAACATGATTTATTTTTTGAATTGTGTGTATAACAGGTGGTAAAATTTCCGATAAGGTTGTGTAAATGTCGAGTATAGCTTCAGCTTGTGTTTCAAATTGTAGATTGATTAGTTGCCATCCTTGCGTGAGTCTTTGCGTCTGTGTTTCAAGTTCCATTTTCCATTTTTTGACTTCTAATTCATTTTTTTGTTTTAGGTTGTATAATTCTTCTTGAACTTGTTTCAACTCGATGTTCCATATTGGCATTGAATTTATTGCTGTTGATGGCAATGATAAATTCGAACTTAATCTTGGCCATACGTTAAAATCATGTTGGTTATTATGGTAGAACTCTTTATATTGGACTTGCGATTGATGTATGGCAGCATTACTGCTCATCAAGGCCTTTTCACCTTTATGATCGCGGTATTGTTGTGGAATATAAAATTGAATGTGTGGTGGTAATAAATGTTTATTTTCTTTTAATTTATTGAGCAAGTTTTGTCTAAATTTAGATATCTTTTTGCATTTGAAATTTACCGCTTCATGATTTTCACCGCAATGATGACATTTAATGATACAATTTTTATGATCAGCACCATCGTGTCTGTCATTGCCGCATCTTTTACATATTTCAATTGTTGATTTGCAGTATTTTTTGACATGACCTGGAGAATTACATTTATTGCATATAAGAATTCTTGGTGATGGCAAATATTCATCTACATCGTATAAATGACCACGTAATGCAAACTTTCCACTATTTAGTGTGTTTGTGCATTCATCTTGTGACAATAAATCAATACGTATATGACGTGAGCGATAAGTCATTGTGCCCATCATTTCTTCTATTGCATAGACGCTTTTCAATTTCTCTTTTACATGTATTTGTATGTCCTCTAATTTAATTGTATTATCAATAAATTTCAATATGATTGCATTGCGTGGTGGTAACTTTGTAGGTAATACAGGTGTTAGTTTTATGTTATTCATTTCTTTAGGGTAGTTATTAATGTTGCACATGTAAATAAATAATTCGATGTATTTTGTGTAACATACGAGAGATCCTGTTCCATCAATAGCATAATGATCGAAACCAAGTGGTTGGTTGAAACGTGGATTCATTTTTTTGAAATTTTGTTCGATATATTTGAGAAATTCTTTGATTATACTTGCACCATCTTCATGTGCTTTCAATTGTGGATCGCACAGAATTTTTAAAGGTGGAAATTTGTCTTCAACTGCAAATCTTAATGCTTGTCGAGATACATAAAATTCCTTATTTTCATTTGTAAGATGATCGTCACTTGGATTTTGGGTTTCTCTGTTTGTTTGTTTATTAGCGAAGTTAGCATCCAAATATTGTATTTCATTTACAGAATCTGGTTGATGTTTTTCTAAGTTTGACAATTGATATTTGACACTTCTTCTTTCATTCTTTTCTTCTTCATCTTGTGTGTGTGTGTGACGTGTTATTTTGTTTTCTGTTCTACCATATCCACGCGATGACGATGTTATTGTTCTACCTTGAACAAAGGAACCAAGTCTTGGTGCGTTGTTGCCTCTCTTGTTTGATTTTCTTTGATATTTCCATTCGAAGTCATCAACATTTTGATTTTTAATTTCAGGATTTTCATCAGAGTCTGGTTGATTTTCATCCATCTTGCTTTCGGTTCTTTTTAGTGATGTTTTAGTATTGTTTTTGTTGTTGTTTGTTGTGGATGTATGTTTCATTTGTTCGTAAAGTTGTTGTATGTTTTCATGGTCACACATACGATCTTTTTCATTTTTGTTCATATTTGGATAGTGATAGTAATCACTCATTTGTTGGTTAGTGTGGTTAAGAGAAGTTCTTGAATAATTATGAATAATTATCCTGAATATCTTAATTATGAATGACACGAGCTAACGCACTATATGTGTGTTAGTGGAGGAGGAGGAACGATGAAGCGTCCACCTTCGGCGTGTAAAGAGAGCAAGTGAATTTTTCTTTGCCTGATTACATTGGTTATTCATGTTTATCTTGATTTTGTGCTCATGTGTTTAGGTTCGTTGATCAAGCGTAAAGGGATTTTTTTTCTCTCAAACTCAAGCTTATGTCGGTGTTACGAAAGTTAAAAAAGAGATAGTTGATCTTTTGGTATCCATTGCTGATTATATATCAAAAAGAATATCACTGTTCCTACCAGGTCAGTTACAATGTCTTTCGAGGAATGGTTTTGACAATGTTTTAGAGAAGAAACAGTTCGATAGAGTCAATGTAAGAATTTGCATCATGAAAGAAATCAACGAAATGTCAATAAAACGCCAAAAATGTATTCGGTTCTCTGTCGAAAGAAAGACTAGAACAAACTGTGAAAAATCTTTTCAAAAAAGAAATATTATTTACATTAAAATTTGTCGAGCTATGTTCAAAAATAAGATATGAAAGAATGGAATGAGTTCTCAAAACCCAAAGATTCATGTTGATGTGTGTTTCACTCAATCAGTCTAGACAGATCAAGTCGATACTCTCTATCGGACGCCACTTATGATTTGCATGAAGAGTTTTTACAAAAGCATCTTCAGCCGCTGCATTTGCAAATTGTGACTTGAAGAACAAATTTATTTGATGACAAGATGACACCCCACACATTCGATTTTTGCTTTCTCTGCACTTTTTGTCTAACCCATGATAGAAAGAACTGATTAGTTGATGAATTCTCATTGATTTTTTTCTGTTAAAAATACAACATTCATAATTTTTCAGTCTTTATATATTACAAATAGATAGGAAATATAAAAGTGGTTATCAGTTGATCTGTTTTACAAACAAAAGATCATTTAATATTGCTGATATGCGATCTTTTGACAATCAATGGGTATCTTCGAGATCTTATCATCAGTATTGATGCTCTTCTTCAGTATACTGGGAATTGGTTTTGCTCTTCTATTCACCGGCGTGATAATTTTTCATCGTCGGTGTCACACAGTGACCATAATCCTGGCATTGAACTCTGTTGTGGCTGGATTAATAATCGATGTAACATGTGCCTGCTAAGCTATTTATCAACTGATCAGTGATGGAAATGATCCTCTATGTTCATTTCGTGGTTATTTGCTTCATAGTTTAAGTGGTCTTCTCTATCATACACTTTGTGTTCAAGCTCTTCATCGTCTCTTTGTCAACGTATTCGCAACACATCGATTTCTTCAATCAAGCCGGTTTATTGTTATCGTCGTTTTTGTTCAGTGGTTGTTTTCCAATACTTTTGCTCTTCCTATTTTTCTTTCTGGACGAATTCGTTATCAGACTGGGAGTCGAATTTGTCTGGTAGGCATTCAACACGTTTTCCTTAAGATTATTCAGTTGATGAACGTGTACTCTACTGCTAAACAACGAAAAAAAAGAGAGAGTTCCATTTTGTAAGAGTCATCCTTTCTGGCCAAATGAAACTGATTGGAATCTGTCTAGATTCGAAATGAATAATAACCAACACATATACTTTCAGTCCTTCTTTATCTAAAAAACACATCTTTCAATCTAATTTTTTTAAATCTAGACCATAAAAATGGTAATACTGGTAGAGATTTAACGCGACTTTGAACGACTACTTCAGAATTGAACAACTGAATTTGTTTTAATTTTTTCTGTTCAGTGAAATATTCAGTTAGCTGTTACAATTCTGATAAACATGAAAACGTGATTATTTTACTAGATAAACCGCACTTCATTTGTTATATTGCAGTCGTCAATTCAAATGACTTTAGTAGATGTATAGGTGGGAAAGAGTTATCTTGCTATGCAAGATAGTAATATTTAAAACTGATTTATGAGGAACGTTAAGTTTTCAACTCATCTAAGTATATGAATAAATACAAATGAACAAAATCGAAAGAACCAAATTCGATGGAGAATAATAATCTTGATGAATCCTCAAACTGAATTGTTCTCAGATAAAAAAAAAGCTTCTCGTACTTAAAACTTTGTGAATCCATTCATTTCTATTCAGCACAAAAATTGTAAAACACAAGACGAGCTTATCGAAACATGGGATAGAAAGCTTTTCTCAATCAATGACACACGATTGAAAGATTTCATTTGATCTAGCTCATTTTTCGCGTTGAGACACATTAATTGTATTGAGAAAAATAATTCCAGTATTAAGTTTTATTTGAAATTCGTCAGATGACGTGAGAACAGCAAAGGAAAAGGTCTCCAAGTGTTTGATTGTCCTCTACTCTTGTTTTTAAGTATCAATAAATGATCATTATGGTTTCTTGTACTTAACAACATGGATTTATTTCGTTCCACTGCCACGGCTCATGCTGACCTATGCATTAATCGTTCGACACGTGAAACATCATCCATTTTCGAACACCAATCGTCCAATTCTGTTACAAAGACATCGGGGACAACGTGAAATTCGCCTTCTTCGTCGAATATTGATGCTGGTTGCCGTGCTTATCATCATGGGTTTCCCATATTGTGTGTTTTGGCTACTCTCATTGATTACTGGATCAACACCGCTCTATACCGAAAGAGTCAGCTTCATCTTTATTGCTTTCGGATACGGAGCAAGTATGTTACTGGCTGTCGTCAAAACAGATGAAATGAGAAAAATCTTCAGCAATCTTTTAAATAAAACATATCAAAAAAGAAGAAAACGACGAGTGCAGTGTGTCACTACCATTAATCTTCATACTATTTAAACGAATCTTCCATGTCACATGTAAAGAACCTATATTTGAAAATTGTTCGTGTCTAATCAATCATTGAACTTCTCATAACGATACAATGATGAATTGTTCGAACTATGAAACTGATCTCATAACTGTGTCGACAAGTGTAGGTTCCATGATGATACGTACACAGGAAAAAAATCATGCAACTCTGCATTATGACAAACGTAATCGGGCGGAAGAGCTAGATCGGTATTCATATATTCGATTATTAATTTTTTCGTATAGAAATCATGCATGAGAGTGTAGGTCTTGGGAAAAAAATACCAACACCCACACCCTTTTCTAGTTTGAAAACGGTTTTTGATAGATCAATACTGACAAATAAAGGTCGCTCAATTATGATACTAGATTCACAATGTCAATTTTGAAAATATTTTTAGTGTTATTCCATCAACAACGATTTTGTCTTAGGAATGTCAATGAATTAACAAATCGTTATTTTTTTCTATATTGACTTATTTAGTCGAACTATTTCAGTTGGACGAATTCGATCAAAATAGGCATTGTCTCATTAACCTAGACGACGTACAACCATCATATAAATACAGATTAATTTCATTTAAAATTTCTGTATCAACGATGGATGCAATTTATGATATTGATGTTGAATCATTACTTTCAATATATGGAGAAAAATATACACATGAAATCAAGGTACGGTATTAAATATTAGTCAATCAAATAGAAACAAATTTCTTTTTTCTTCTAGTTATTGACACAAATAATCGAAAGTTGTCTATCGGAAGATTCTATTCGTAATAATAATGAAAACAAGGAAATGCTTATTTCAAGTCTCAAGAGACGAATTATTATTAATTGTACTATTGAAAAATATCAAAGTAGGAAATTTTTCGAACGAAAAGAGAGAAGACTTATGTTAATTTAATTATTTTAGATGTTCTTGATGATATTGAGATTTTCAAAAAATTCAATGGTGAATTCAATAAAGAACTTGTTCTTGCATGGATGTAAGTCAACATTTTTTCAATATGAAATAGTTCTATTTTATTGAAATTTTTTTTATCTAGAGAAGCTACCCAGTCAGACAAAAATTTTGAAAAACGCGTTTAAACGCACAATCGGGAACCGCGATTGTAAGCCATTAACGCTCATTAAAAAAACGCACGAAAACGCTTTCGTTGGCGTTTTTTGTAACTTTATGGGCGTTAAAACGTATTATTTTTAAGT